CTTCGAAAAAGACGGAAACGTCGAAACGTCAGGCAATAAAGATTCCATCTAAAACCGGGTTTCGGCAAAACACTTTTAAACAACATCAAACGATATTTTTCTAAATTAGGATTACTTTGTTCGCTAGAATTTCTTTGTTTAAAAACCCCAAATTCAACAGCCTTGTTTCAAGTCGGAAAAATAAATATTTACATACGATTGTTGTAGACAGCTTAAATATGGGGTGTCCGCGCTAGACGAGGCTTTAATTCCTTAAAAAGTTTATCTCTCAGGCTGAAAAACTTAGTGCACGTAACAGAGTTTAGCAAATTCGACTCAGGCAATTGGGACACGAAAGCAAGTTTGGCGAAAATATTGAATTTAGAGTATAATCATCATTAAAAACTTTCTAATCTTTAAAGAAGAGCAGATGCTGCAAAGAGAAGCAGAAAGCCGTAATGGCAAGATCAAAAATGCAGTAGAAGGAAAAGTGAAATTCTGCTGTCTTCAAACTGTAATGTAAAGATTTTCTGCTATAAGAGTGAAGCCGGATTTTTGTTAAAAAAGGTCGTTAAAGGAAAATTGATCAAAGGGGGCGTGGCATAACTGAGGATAGACCACGCCCTTTCTTGTCGGGTCGGGAGAAGTGTTCCTCAAAGCATTATCAATTTTTAAAAATTTTCATGACCTATTTTAGTAGTAAAATATCTATGCGTTGTATTAATGATACTATTGCAATTTCACGTATATTATAATGGCTAATATCGCATATAGCATCGACAAGAAGTATAAGAAGGATAAAAATATGGAAAGGATAGAAAGGATGGTGATTTATGCACATATACAGCCCCTAATTGTTCCATTAACTTAATTTTTTTCTATAATCATTTCCAAGGATGTCACTATATGGGGCGCTTACCCGATTCCAATCGCCTCTCTGACAAGGTGGAATAAAAAGTTCTAAAAAAAGAGTCACTCACCATTGGCACCTCAGATTTGATAGTGTTGATCTTGTTTAGCGGTACAGAACAGATTGTTGGGCTATCGCGACCTACTTTTTTACCTAAAGTAATGCCTAGGAGAAAAATCTTACTATACTCAATAATTTGACAAAATGTCTAAAGAAATAACCTTCTAATTGTCCTTCCGCTCTTAAATTCATCCTAGACATCCCGCTTCGTGAATAAACACGAAATCGTAGTGAAGAAGTTTGAATTTCAGCTGGAATAATATTTGAATAATAGGTAATTAACGCTTCTTGCTCTACTGAGCAGGTGCTCCTAACTTACCTTTACCGACATCGGTGAACGAGAAAGTTTGGTTGAAGGCCGGCTCTTCACCTCTGACTACAGCTGTTTGCTGCTTAGCTCTTTCACGACCATATGATATTCGTACCTGGATTACAGTGATTAAAAAACTTCGCAGAAAAGCAAGCTTTTTTTATTAAATTGACCGCCCCGCCCCCTCATTCTAAAGATAGAACTTAAACACCCAAGAGAAGTGGAATTTCAGCTATAGATAAGGCAAAGGGTGGAGTCTCAAGCATGGATCAGTTCTCGCTCAACAGGTTAGAAAATTAATCCAACGAATGTATAAATGCATACAATCAAAATATATTTTAAGTTTAGATAAATACGAACAAAACTTTCACAACGAAAACTAGTCCTCAGATGGTAGGAGCAGCCCTAATTTTTGAGGCGAATGACTAAATATCTATCAAAATGCGCTTAATTTGATAAAAGGTTAAAAATTGTATTAACGTCTGACGAGGACCAGTTCTCTTTCGGAAAATTTCGTGAGATTGTCAGCCAAATTTGATCAAGGGTCGCCAATTCACAACCGTTTGGTAACTCAGTAAATGTTAGATAGGTTATTGATTTACAATACTCTACAAGAACCACTTCTCGTCTGTTAAATAAGTGAAAATATAAAGGAAAAATTTGGTTGAAAAAAAAACTATTTATGAAGGCCTTCTCACTGTTACTTGTATGCATGCTGATGCATGCCATGGACGACCAGCTCTCGAATTGGAGCACTTAGTAAAACCATTAATACAATTTATCATGGTGAGAAAGATATTTGCGAAAGTCCATATGACTCTATTTTTGCGAGTGCCAGAAACTTTACCATAGCAGTGGGGACCAGTTCTCGTTTTGAACTAAGAGAAAGGAACAAATAAAAGTGCATTAAAACTTCACTGCACAAACCAAAAAAATCGTGTCGATAGCTAACATTTTAAGTAACAAATAGAAAATTGTAAGAAGCTAAAAGGACAAATAGACAAACATACTATAATAAATTGGTAATGTGCAATAAATCTACCTGTGTGACGTCATCTGCGAACAGATCACATGAATGCAGTGATATCACCTTAACGATGACCACCTTCTTTTGAATATTGTATTGAACGGCAACTCGAAGATGTGGCTGGGTTTCTTTTCCCGTATATCCTTCGAATTGATAGGATTTTGTCGGCTCGAACTAAATTATACCAGTGTATATTTGGATAGGAGACAACAAGGATTTTCGC